CTTTTGTTATGCGTTTTTTGCAGCTATGCAATGCAGAAAACGCATATTGACGAGGAGTTGTCTATGTGTTTGTGTGTACGTCTGTGTGTCCGTGTGTGCGTCTGTCACGGTTTTTCATCTCAAGACCTACAAAAGCTACAAGGCTGAAACTTTGGGAACTTAATCTACATGCACGTACGGGCCCCAATCCCAAAAATGGGCGCCATTACCCGCGTGATACCCGCATGCGGGGCCGTCAAATTTTTTTTCGGGTAATTTCATAACTCGAGGATCTGAGAAGCTAGAAAGCCGAGACCTTAGGGCGATGTTCCCCGTTCAAGTGGGTATTAGACAGCTCAAACCCAGCCTTCGGGTAAGTGCGGTACCCGAGTACGAGCCCGCCAAATTTTTTTTCGGGTAAGTTCATACTCGGGGATCTGAGAAGCTAGAGGAATGTAATTTTAAGAGGATATACCCCGTCCACCTAACTTTCATTCAGCTCGAACACAGCTCTCGGATATGCGTGGTAAACACGCACGGGTCCGTGAAAATTATTTTCCAGTAAGTTACTAACTCAGGAGTCAGGGAAGCTAGAAAGTTGAAATTTTAAGGGGGTGTTTTCTGACAGTTCTGGCGGCCAGTCTTAATCTGTTTAGCTAGAAGATCTTGCCGAAAAAGCCGGTGCCAGTAGCAACAAAAACTGCGGAGAACTATGCAAAAAACGCATCTTCGCACGGCCAGTCCGTGCGTTGACCAATTATTATATTCGTCAACACTAACTTTCGAACTGCATTTAGAATCAAACTTTTATTTATTTTCGATCTTGGCCATTTTGTGTTATCACAACGATATGTTTCCCACTTTTCTGAAATAAAGACCCACACTAATAATAAAGTTCATACGGTTTTCGTGTGTGTCCAGATCGCCACCAGGTTGAACAGCGGGTGATGCGGCATTGATCAAAGAAAATGGAGATATTGCTAGTTGAGTAGTTGGAGAAGGCTAGGAAGTTGCTAGCTGTACAGTGGAACAACCAGCTGATCCGAATACTCTTATTATGTATTTTCGACAAAAAAACTGTGCAGTGTGTCCATTCATTAACTTGTCGAAAGTAGATTTTTGCCCACTGTAAATATTTTGTGGCGGTTACGCGTTTTTACGATAGGTTCGACTCGATCGTCTTGTGTTGCTAGTAGACGACTGTTCAATTCAAAAATCCGATTTTCTGCCTCATGTACTGTTCCCTAACTAAAGAAGTTACACGATAAGTCTGAAAATATAAGGTACAGCGAAGTTTCTAGCTAGCACTACATCCTAGTACCTTATTTTCACTCATTCGTTTAGCTTCTTCATTATGCGCTTTTGCCTATATGCAAATTGCAAAAACGCATATTGGGACGACCCTGTCTGTGTGTGTATGTGTGTGATGTTTGTGTGCGTGTGTGTTCGTCTGTCCGGGTATTTCAACTCGGCAACCAAGCAAGTTTCAGCGCCGAGATTTTGCATTGCTCCCGACCAAGTACCACTCCAGAACCGCGGTACCATCCCCCACGTACGTCTGGGCCCCGCGTACGAGTTCGGCCAAGTACCATCCCAGAACCGCGGTACCATCCCTCACGCACGCCTGGGCGCCGGGTACGGGTTTCTTAAAGAAATACGCAAATTTTTTGGCGGGAGGGCGAGCTCGGGAACCACATGACCTAACTGGCTGAAAATTTGTATAGATATTCCCTGTGCAAGTAGTGGCTAGGGGTTTCAAATTCAGCCCCCAGGCATGCGTGGTACCCACGTAAGAGCGTATGAAAGTTTTAAGGGGAAAATTGCTAACTCGACAACTAGGA